TATAAATTGGAACTACTAATTTCTTATCTGATGCTGATCTTAGAGTACGCCTAGGTGTGTAAACTTCTAAAAGATTATAATGATTCAATTGATCAATATTCATTGATATGATTTCAAAAGTAACAACACATTAGTTTTGGCTATTTTTCTGATTTATTTATCGTACGTGATGTTTATATCTCGACGTGTAAAGTACGTGTAAGAGAACCTGCGAAGTAAAGCAGGTGCGGCATCCACCATCATGGATGGCTAGGTCGATGTTTATCGCAGTTCCTCGTGGTTTTTAGTAAAGATTTTACCAAGATTTGCCCACCACATAGTTTGGAATGCAATTAACATGGGCTTCCCAAATTCATTAATCATTTAAGGACCGTTATCTTAAGTTTGAAACGATTTCTTCGCAAAACCAAAGGGAAGCAAAATTAGAGTTTGATGTATCGTCAAAATGATTCATTCGAGTCTTTCCCGGAATTTCTAGCATGAATATTTGGTCCAACTTTGTACACTTTCAATCCCAACTACATCTTGATTCTTARATTTACAACTGAACTAAATATATGTATGCCATGTTTGTCTGACGACACTCCCTTTTATAAATCCAGTGAAATAACCGAAAATTGTGCTCAGTTACAACTCCAAAAAAAATTCAACGGCCTTCCAACACCTCAAGTATAACCATTTCGTTTCTCCCAACCTTTTTTCCCAACCAATTTTTGAGATAATATTTCAGATACCATATTCCTTTTCAACTCTTTGGGTTTGTTATAAAAAAGAAGTTTATAGGTGTTTCCAGTAGAGTATGAGATAGCTGTATTCGTAAAAAAAATGGTTGCTTCGTTGTATTGGAAGTCTTGAAAATTAGCATTAGCGTCAGTTGAGAGTTAAAACTGATATTTCTCACCTCAAGATTTCAAATCAGTCAATAGTTCCCAATCAATAATGTTTCTTCTAAAGACGTTAAAAACTTTCGTGTGGCTAGTTCAAAATCAAAAACTAATAAACTTCATAACAGTTTTGCACTTCAAAGTGTATGTAATCCTGTTAAGATAATCTGGATATTCAGAGTTTGGTTAGTGGGTGAAGCAAAGCAAAGAGTTACTTAGGGCTCAAGGAAGATTCACGACCTGAATTAAATTGTAATCATTTCCAGTGTTCAGAGGATTGGCAGTAAGATCTCGTCCAAACTAAGGCTTAAAAGAGACAATTCCTAAACCTAGATTTCCGATGTATGGCCTATATATGGTAAACAACCAGCTTTTACCTTTTGCAAAAACAAAACTGGGCTTCAGGGCATGTATATAAGACCATTTCTTCGCTCTGTCGTTTGTAAATGAATCATTCTTGGGGAATTCTCGCTCAAATTGGACAAGAAAGGAAATTTGTTATGATCAACTAAGACACTGATTCAGTCGTCGGAAAAAATTCACAGTAGCAAAATGAAATTAGAATGGTTGAACAAAGGTAAGGTAAGGTATTCCTGGTTTTGGGGGAGGTTTTTCATCGTATCTCGTTTTTTTAAGCAGGAAAGTTAAACAATATCAGTTGAAAACTTACTAGACGATTGTCGTAAGGTAGCGCAAAATTAGTGTTGCTTGTGTTGTGTCTGTTGCATTCTAACTCAAGAATTTTAGATATTTTGAAAAAGAAAAACCTTTACTTTCCTCAGTCAGTTTAAACATTCTTTTGGCTTTTGAATCTACAAGATAAAAGAAAAGAAATAGTGTTTGAATAAAATGTCCGATTCACGGATTCATTAGTAGGCATCAGTTTCTTTGTGGTTTACCAACGGTCAACATTGAAGGATATATATATATATATATATATGTATACAACATCTTCCTGGTATGGATGAACAAACGCTCTTTTTTTTGAACCAAAATTTGAGAAAAAAGGCCATCGTTTTTTTAAATTCAGAAATAAAGAAAAGAACGTTTTCAATAAAGCTACAAATCTAAAATTAAAACGGTCGCTTGAAATGGTAAATTGTCTTCGAATTCAATCGCGGAAACTGTATTTTTTGATTTAATAAATTTAACAATATCGAGGATTTAAGTGGAAATCTTTACGAATCCAATTGTGTTGAGAACAACGAGTTGTTGATACCTAAATTGGTCGTATCAATTAGAAGAGGAAATGTCTGTAGATATATTAGAACAAAGAAAGGTAAAAACTTTTACCAAAGCTTTTACTTGCAAAGATAGGATTTCTTGGCAAGAGACGGGCGCTATTGTCACGCGTCGCGCGCAAGAGTGCTATTTAATCTTAAGTAAAGTACTTTTATTTCGTTTAGTCGTTTCTTTCAACCCGTCCGCTCTTTTGTTGCCAATATGTATCTTTTATACACTGAGGTATACCTCAGACTGATTGCTTTATTGCAAATTTATAACCAAAGTTTGACTCGTTTGTGTTTSATTTTCATCAGCACGGTCGGTGCTTCCAAAAGAATCACTTCATGATATTAATGCGCAGCTTACATCTATCAACTCCATTTACCGCCATTACAAAAAAATCTAATGTAGCTGATAACTGGATCAATGTATTTACTGTTTCATGTCTTGTATAACAGAATGTTAGCAGTTCTTATTCGTTCACTATCTCACTTCGGCATGGCGGTCTCATGGCTTTGAAATCGCCGCCATTATTGTCCTATTTTCTATTTTGGTYATTATAAATATCGCAGATAAAAAGATTGTAAATCAAATGTTAGAGGCCAGCTAACATCTCTTTAAACTGAGAGTTTTGAGTTACARATTTGATTATTATATTTGAAGTACAAGGCAAGTTTACTTCGTTTTGACGTGATTCATCTTGACTTAGCTTTAATTAACGGAGTACTTGTACCATTTAATTATCTATCAACTGTTAAAAGGATTTGCTTGGAAACCTTATGGAAGAACTTGTCGTCGGTGTCTGAAAAAGAGATGAAAAGTACAAAATAACCAATTTTAAGCGACTGGTATCAAAAGTAACGAAGATCTTAGCGGTTTGATTAAAAAAATTTCAAATAAACGTGAAACGGACGTCAAAGTAAACGCGACGATTCAAATATGTAACACGTTTCGTGATGATTTTCTTTATTTTTGAATTTACAACTTCTCCTTATAAAAAAAATCACTTTTTAAGTACTTTTCAACTTTTTCATTGTATTTTTCTTGTAGGTTTTTTAGACTAATGTTTTTAAATTGTACAGTATGGTAAGAGTTTTCGTGATCCAGTATTGAAAATAAGCCTCTTCCTCTGCAAATATTTTTTGTTTAAGAAAATGACTTTTTTCCTCTCCATATTAAAACATCTCGTCAGGCTAGAAATGTAGTTAAATCGTTTTTCTTATGGTTTAATAATGCTATGTCATTGAGGGTGAGTGCGAGTGTTCAGTATAGAAGGAATGTAATGATGAGCCCTGCAGGAGTCTTCCAAGTTAGCGTGCTCTTCCGAAAGACTGACAAGGCGAGTGGCACGTCACATTTGATTAACAAAGGGACAGTGATCTGAAATTAAAAAGTTATTAGTTCTTTTTAAAAGATTACCGGAAAAGTCAACACTGCTATTGTTCAAACAATAAACGAATCTCTTCAAATTTGGAGTGAAAATGAGAAGATATGCCGACAATGATGGTTAGTTTGATAGCATATGAAATGCTGATAAATGATCGTTCTAAAAACCAGACATTTACATGGACTTGTTGGTTTTTGACTTTGCCTATTGTTTTCTGCATATATTATTCATTTCAATTATGTTACTACAGCGTTCTGTTTGCTCAGGGCAAGACAACTATCTCTAGCGTTTGTAACTGGCGGGATTGATTCTAATGGAAAACCGAAAATGCTGCGTCGTGTATGTGCACTCACACAAACATATTTTGAATCAGCGCCCGTAGTCTGCACATGACCCTCAGCTCGGCTAGTTCATTTTCAAGTTTTTCCGGGGAATAAATCCTTGTGAAAACGAACGAGAATTAAGGTGTTTATGTTAGAGTGGAGCACATCAAATGATTTTAATTGGTTTATCCTTTCAAACACTTCTGAGAATCCCACCTTTAAGGCCCTTAAACCACAGTTAAACCAGCTCTTGACAATCCATCACGACATTGGTGGGCCCCTGGAAGATTTCCACTTGTTTCCCACAAGCTAGAGTTGCGTAAAAGGGCCGTGGTTCTAAACTAAATCCCCGAGGGGCTTGCAACACTCGAGTAGGACAAACAACTTGAGCACCATGGATGAAAACACAATTCTTTATTTGGACATTATGAGAGCAGGCTCTCACAGGAATCTTTATTTCTTTCTATAAATCATCTCCCGCAATTGAAATAATTTTGCTTCCTTCTCGTCCAGCCTTCTCCAATTTCTCCATCATCCAAATGTCGAATTATCGAGATTACGGTCGTGACAACAAAGCTGCCTTCTCGTGACCTTACAGTGAAGGGTGCTGTAAAAGCATACTCTGTTTTCACGACTAGTTTACAAAGATTAAGTCAAAGCACAAAGTCCACAAACATATCTCTCGTTGCACCTGAGTCAGCGATCTTTTAGTTTAATCGCGAGTCTCTTATTTTATGTAAACACTTCCCTACCTGGATCGAAAGCAATTCATTTTTAAGCCCTGCTTTCAGCCTCTCTGCACTTAAACTATAATAACAACTTTAGGAAAACATTTTTTACTTCCGTAAGTTTGATAGATGGATAACAAGATAGCACTAGAATAAGTCGCGTGCGCTTTCTTTAATTATTGCAATCAAGCTTTCAACACTTAAGGGCATTTAGCATTCTATCTTACGATCTTTACATTAGATTGTCGGGAAGACTTTGTCAAGAATTTAGGCCATAGTTTTAAGGACCCTATCGCTGCGTTCAAAACCCGACGTTCAAAACTATGCCGGGACCGACCAGTTCGTCTGTGACCTGAGTAAATCTGAAAGTGCGCTAAGACTATGATGATTTAGGAGTCTCTTGAAARATTTGAACTGGTTATAGTAGACGTTTTTAAAGGAGGTAAAAAGGGAACTCGTGTGTTGTGGCAGTTTTTGTATAAGTGGYCACGCTGGCCGTCTAACTATTGTTATTCACCACCGCCAACAAAAGTGACACTTTTTAACGAAGTTGTACATCTTTATTTCAGCCTTGTGATATGCAGGCAGGAATACAGGCAGCACTATGCAARCAACTAAGACGCACGCAGCCTTCCACTTCTCATCGTTGAACTGGTAGCTTAAAATAAAGCTAAACAAATGAGCTTTGATTACGTCAAAAGTGGGTCACCTTTGAGTTGACAGAACTCAACCAACATGCTCACCACGTGGCCAAGGGGTTTGAGTTCAAAACACATGCTTCAAGGCTTAAAGGCTTCCTTTGCTTACGAATGTATGGCTTGAGTTAGAGCCCTAAATTGGAATCGTTTAGTTACCCGGCGATCGATTCTTCAACGTATGCTTAGCGCGTGACTGAGTCGAAATACGGACATGACTAAAGCCATCCCTGGTCTACATTGTTACTTATCTGAAAGCGGAAACAGCTAGTCAGAGTACTGCTCATATCATCCGGTTAAAATGTTCAAAGCAAACAGTGCCTAAAACAAAACCACACACCCGTCACCCAACGAAATAAAACCCTTGAAAACCAAGGGCGAAAGAAGCATTCGAAAGGGTTATTTACGTATTTTTAGCTATTTTCAGTATTGTCCTTAGTTGTTCTGGAGTACAAATTACCAGATCTAAAGAGCAGCCCTTATAAACAGTAATAAATATAGCGTACTAGAAAAAGCAAAGATTGTTTACTTGTTATCCCAAACACTATTAAAACACCATGACACATTTGCCTAAGATTTTCAAGCAACATAAAAGACTTCCCTTTTGTCTTCTGAACGGGAAGATGTCGGTGCGCTTTGATCAAGTGAAAGATGACGTCGTAGTGACGTCAATACTACTCCCTGTGGGAGCTCCCGTTCCCTTGATGAAAATTAGGTAGCCATTATTGAATTTTTCGTTGGCTTGATTCTGGCAGTTGTTTTGCATCAAGAGGAAAAATAAAGTCGGTCAGAAAGAACTTTTTCATTACTGGAGCGAGTTTCACTTATGTATTTTGGTTTCACAATGATTATCGAACTATTATAAAGGAGACGTAAAAGTAGTGAGCCAAATGTGTATATCACTGCAAGTAAAACGATGCCCCCCTGAACTAATAAACACAACCCCTCCCTGAAGCAATTAATTTCACGTTATGTCGTACACATGATCAACACATGCCCAAGCTGTTTCTGTTCTTTTTGACTTGAAATCTTAAAACCAGCTTTATTTTTCGACCATAAGGTCTTCAAACATCAACAAATGTTTATAAATTTTGCAGACAGGTTACTTCAAGAGGGAAATATCGTGCAGGATACGTGACAGCTTTGGTCTGTGTAAAAATTAATTCAAACTGCAAGGCATAGCTAAGTAAATATTTTGCCTGACTTATTTTTTCAAGAAAGCTCATGCAAGGACAAGATAATAAAGAGACAAAAAAAAAAAATGTATGGATTATAGTTGCCTGAATGAAGAAATAAAACAACCGGCTTTGGGATGAGAATTCTTTGCATTTGCTAACGATACAATTTACCGCATCACACTACAATCTTTAATAAACAAAAAATCTTAGAACTCAAAATTGTTTAACAAGAATGCAAGCAGACTGGTTCTAAAAGCCATGGAAATGCAGTCAGACAATAACATTTTGACATATATCAATTTTAAAACGAAAACCTCGCGACTTTTAATAAACGATCGAGGATAGGAAATTAAAAAGATGCCATTCTTCATTACTGGCAGTAAATAGGAATTGTCTCAGATAGTTTACTGTCAAGTATTCATAGTTATCGCTATAGTTACTGGAGACTATGTCTGCTATTCAGGCTTCATCATCATTTAACGATACGGTTGCATTCCAATTTATTATACTCTTAGCAAAAGCCTGAAATATGCCACAAGTGGAAAAACTGATTACCAATTTGTGGTCCACTTTGTCTAGAACGCTCTCGCACGACCTGTGAATTCAGTATTTTCGTGGAAAAATATTTTCAGCAGTGAGAGAGAGGTTTAACTTTCATTAAAAATTAATGCCATCGTGAGACAAGTGTGAAAATAGACATACAAATGATGAAATGAAATAAGGAGAAGAGTTTCAAGGAGAAGCTCAAAAAGAATCCGAGTTTCAAATGATATTTGGAACCACGATGTCATCGTGTTTTCAACCGAAAAGCGAAGCACAAAATAACTGATAATAATGAATTTTTCCGTGTTTATAGTCAGCAGTCATTCACTTGGAAACCGAAAAAAGCAAAAAGCGTATCTCAGCAGAAAATAAAACAGTAATGAACTTGGGTATATATTGATGAAAGCCCTGATGCCAAGAATAATACAACACAAAAATGAGGTCTTGCTTAATAACAATATTTTATGCTGTGTCTAGAAGGTTGACACGCGGTTGAAAACTCATATATAAATTTACTAAAGAGGGTGTTATAAAGAAAGGTAAACGTAAGAGAAGGACAGCTCTATGAGCTGCAGACAAGTATTGACCCGTGCAGGGAGATGAAATATGCGGGACAAGAGTTCAACTATGACAAACTTSTCATTCAAGCTTTCAAATTTGCACTGTCTTAAAGAGAGTCTCAGTCTGCAGGTCACAAACTGTTCACCAACTTATGCAACTAGCTAGTCAAATTGGCTGGCCCAACTCCGAACTTCACTTTTTCTTTTGGATGCTTTGAATGTAAATCCTATTATGGATGCGCGAAGAGACTTGCCAAAATGGAAGCATTCCAACTTATCTTATCATAAATTTCTCAGATTGCAGAGCACATAGTTATAGTATTAGCGAATCCCCAAACAAGCAATAAATATGGTCACCAACAAGGTCTAAATCAACATAGGAGGCACTGTATTGCTACAGACAATTCAATGATGGAAAACTTGCCCTCTATTGTTCGAGACTTAGATTTCGACATAAAATTAGGTTAAATAAATACTTCGATGTTCGAAAGTATTTGAGCAATGTTTTGGGATATTTGTTCTATTCGATAGAATTCAAAAAAGTTGTTTTGGTTGGTAAGAAGTTATGGGAATAATTCAATAATAATTGACAATAACACGAGTGATGAAATCTACACCTTGTGATGTACTCAAATTTGAATAACGTTAAGATACGTGATGATTCTAATAATCACTTTGAAAATTTTGGCTTTGCATAAAAAAATATATATATTATCTAGAAGATTTAGTCAAAGCAAAAGAATATATACGGTATACCTTACAAAAATATTTGAATAAAAATATCCCCCTACCTTGTGTAGGCCATTCCTCTTGTTTTTCCTTTGTGTCTACTTGCTCATGTCATTTCAGAACCTGAAAATATAGATAGAGTAAAAATTATTGAAACTCAATCAGTAAAAGCACTGAAACAACAATAACAATAAAATCTTCATCAAAAACAACAACAACTAAACCACCATCGCCACCAACAACAGCAATGGAAACCAACAAAATTAACAAGACAACTAACAACAATAACGACATAACCAACAAAAAAAACATCACTATACCACTATCAACACTGATCACCAACAACAATATATCCAACAACACTAAAACCAACAACAATATAACCAACAAAAATATAACCAACAAAGAAATAACCAACATCAACAATGACTAACAGCAATGACAACAAAATCTCCATTAGACTACTAACAATAAAGCCAACAAAATCCAAAAAACCAACAGCAATAACATTTAAAAAAATAAAAAATCGCCACGTCCACCAACGTCGACGAAACAATCACTACCACCACCAACAACAACAACAGAAAAACCATCACCACCACCAACAACAATGAAAGCCAACAACAAGAATAATAATCAATAACGATAACAAAAAATAGCTCACAACAAAATCACTACCACCAACAACAATAACAAAACCAACAACAAAACCAACAACAACAACAACAGCAACAACAACAACAAAATGAAAGAGCCTTAACCAAAATATTAACACCAAATACAAATTAATACACTTATGTGCAGTTGAAAATAAGTTGACTGAAAACACTATTGTCAAAGTTGTTGAATCTTGATGTAATTGATGATGCTTTAATGCTCTAAGGAATCAACCATACTTTCCCCCCCTCAAAATCGATTCATAACATTTCTGCAGTTTTAACTTAATTAGCATTGAATGCTAAATTACTTATTTACTTGTTCAATCAGTGGTTTTCCCAGAACTGGTATTCCTGTGTAAAAAAGGAATTCTCTCCAGGCCTTCGCCTCTAGTCACCTAAACAGGGAGCCCGATCTTCGACATCCTCCTAACCTATCATCATACCAATGGTGTTCACCGCGAATTGGTTGTGTGAAGTGTTGGGTGCTCTACAAGAAGCGTTGATCTCGTAGTTCTTTCATTGTTATCTGCTGTTGGTGAGTTCGAGGAGACCGTTAAACTCGATCTGTGCCTGTGGAAATAAAATCAACTGTTAGAAATGCTTTTAAATCAAGAGCGACCAGTGAAGGGTATTAGTTCTATTTTGTAAACAACGTATACACGCTTGTCTAAAACATTGCAGAGGGGTTCATGGCTGTTTTTATTTTATTCGTGGAGGGGGACGTTCAGAACCAAGCAGGCTAGAGAGTAGGAAATCAAGGACGGAGTGGCGGTAGTATACTCGCCTTTTACCTCTGAAGTCGCGGGTTCGATCCTGGACTCCACATCAAATGTGAACAGAATCTTGATTGGAAGTTTTTTTTCGCGGGGGTTCTCCTCCCTGGCTCCAAAAATCCCAACAAGCTAAATTCCAATTCGATATGTTGATAACCGTGACTTAAGATTTACAGGTTTTTTTTTTGAAAGAGTTGGATTGGGTCATACAGTTATAACATCACACAACTGAGTGCATCGTTATGCCATGGATAACCTCAAACATGTCACTCTATACACATGTCTTTAGTTAAACACTTCCTGGCAAAACGGAAAACAAGATCTTGGAAGCACGTTTTCACAATGTTATTTATACTCTTCCGCCGGTCCTTATCTGAGTCATTGTTCGACCAGTCCCCTCTTGACGTCACACGCATGCGTATCAGATACCCGTGGTCGCCGGTATTAAACTCATTTCCTTCGAGGGACAGTGAGTTGACTAGTTCATTGTTAGCTGGAAATTGTCACAAGAAGTGATGATATGGGGTCTAAAACCACTGTGAAAGTGAAAATAAACCGTCTTGAAAATTGAGAGTTTTGATTGGTCACTTCGGTAATTCAGTCATTTAGGCGAATCAACTCAGTCATGAACAAAGTGCAAGCTACTTCGGAATCATTTTCTAAGACATGTACTTCCAAAGGTGCAATAAAGATGAAATAGTAGAAATATATTGTACTAAGTATATATAACATATAAAAAAGGACAAGATACACGTATATATATGAAATGGGAGTTCTAGTATGATCAGCCAAATTTGATCAGTTCTACTGCGAAGATTCAGACCATGGCAAACCTCGTTGAATTGTCACCGGCCTACATGCTTGAAGACACGTTTTATCATCGACAATAGTAACCCCTTGTGTCACAATAATCATTTATAATGAACTTTAAAAAGTACTACAAGATCGTTTGGTTAATCAGAACATCAATCAAGAACCTACACAAACACTGTTGAATCATCCTGTCAGCTTGATTGCTTAAGATGGCTTTGGTTGACATTGACTCCACTTGAAAGTCTCACCGCCAGCAGATAATCGGCTTAGCCAACGGAAGGACGATTAGTCTATTGAAGATCAATCAGATCGTCATCTATGACCAGTTTCTAATAAAATTTCTAGCATGAAGTTCATCAACCGTTTGACTAATACTTTATAGGGTTTCCAACTTGAATCCTACACTAAGACCTGAAGAGTCATTTCTAAAACTCAGCCAAATCCACATTAAAGAACTTTGATAGGATTTCAATTAAGGGTGCCATAACTAAAGGATGTTTTTACGGAGGTATCCTCGTCAAGCCTGTGTGAACTAATTGTTAAGTCTGGAAACCATGTCGGTGGTTATGAGATTACCAGAAAGCGGCTTCCCAAGAATGATTACTCAATGAGGAGGTATTTTAATATTTTAAAGAGCATCAATCAATATATTAGGATTAGATGATGACTGGTGCAGATGGGATAAGCAGCAAGACAGCTTAGTATCATCCATGGACATGACTACGAAAGTGAAAATTCTGCAATTTTTATTTCTCGGAGTCTTGATATATATGTCGCTTTGCCCAGCCGAACATGTTGCATACTTGTTTAAAGTTAATAATCATATGTTTGGTCCAGTGATACTTTGCCTAATTTGTCGATAAACAAGTTCTATAGATAATTCTTTCAATATTCTTTTATCCCAACCTAGTTATATTGATGATTACATCAAGATATAACGTCTAAGATATAAAATGCGAGTGACTGATCTGACCGAATGACCAACCTTCCAAGTAATCGCACACCGGATGAATTCTATGAACGTGGTACAAATAAAAAGCAGTTTTCAGTAATAGATATAAGACTATGACGAATGTCCTATATGCATTGCAATAACTAGCTAGCAGTGCTTTCAGAGACGGCACGAAGTTTAATTTTAGACAACTGCTATAAGACTGCTAAGTAACAGGGAAAAAGAAAGAAAGAAAGAGAGAGAGAGAAAGAAAGAAAGAAAGAAAGAAAGAAAAGATAAAGTCAAACATTTACGTGACAGTGTCCTTAGTTACTAAAGCTAGAGAGCATGCATACTGACACGATCTCCCATAAGTGGTCAGTCATGATAAGATCTAGAAGTCTTGCACTGATTTCCTACAACGACACAAACAACATGGTCTACAATAACAAATAAGAGGTTCAAATCATCCCACACGGATTGCACTCAATGCTTAACATTGTCGATATTTATTAACATTTCCTCGCGTCCAGTAAACTTTTCTACGCCACAGAATGAAGGAAGGATTATGGCGATTCAATGAAACGTTACAACCACAAGCTATACGTGAGCGGGGTTTATGTTAGTAAGGATTTTTGCCAAGTGGGGGGTGACCTCAATGGCTGAATTAGGAGTTTCCGATTCCCTTTGTTCGTTGAATCGTCGAATCGTTAAGTTTGATGAACCCTTTATTGTATCTTCGAAAGGCACTGAGTTAATCCCTGAACTTCTCGCAAAGAAGACCCTATAATTGTCATTTACCATTTGTTAAGAATCCGTAATAGTTGTCACTAAGATGGTGGAATTGTCCTAATGAAGGACTAAAGGCAGTTAATTAGTCAAATAGCATCCTCTTGTTTGTACAAAGAGTAGTTTAATCGCTAGTGACATCATGCTAGTCCGTGACCTAGAGTTAATTACAGGATTAGGATAAACGTGTGTTGAAGGATTCAGGCTTTTCTTATAATAGGCAATAACTTCTTATTGACTTTCACAGGATGTGGCTTTAAAGACCTATTTATCGACCGAGTCGCTTTAGAACCAGGATCTTACGACAACTAAGCGACTTACTCTCTGGAAGGAAGCTCTTTCTTCGGTCAAAACCTCAGTTTAACACGATTAAAGAGCTTTGGCAAGGTAATGGAATAGTCCGTTCACAGCGTGATGGTGTACTTCTACCATATTTGATGAAGGTATTTAAAGAGATTGGAATGAAAGCAGTAGAGGCGTCAATCTCATGCAACATTTATTGAACTAAGATTAGTTTAAAATCTTCGCTCAGGGGTCAGAAATTTTCCTTCAATTAAAACCCGTGTTGGAATTCCATTCAAAGTACACAAACCTTCACTTGAAGTAAACGATGGCTGGTCACGGCGTTTTTTGATGAAAGATAACGCAGGAAGCAAGAATTTAACGCAGAATGCCCAAGCTGTAATCACAGGAAGCCCAAAGTCTCGTGTCAACCAATGACTACAGTGTGACAGATTTTTTCCCTACTCTTTGATTTCGCGACATTTCCTGTCAAATGTGATTACGTTATAAATAGCCACTCCCCGCTTGTTAGGTATAAAAGAAACTAACGGGGTTCCTGAGGTACTCAAATATCTATTGATGATCCTGCACGACTCACTTTAAACCTTTCTTTCTTAAGAACCACGAGTAGAACTCACAAAGTGAACACTCTTGAACTCCAAGCTGCCCAAGTAAGCTGAATTAAATTACCTAGTTAACATAATTTAGTTATAGTCGCTTCATATTTACTTCTAGTGAGTCGTAACTCAGAAATAAGAGAATGGCCCTATGATTTTGTCTTTGTGTACGTCAAGCTACTACACCATCAATCCTCAGTTTCTCTCTGTATTTTTTATGCACTTTACATTCTTGCCCGTGTATCTAGGCCGCTATATTTAACCATATATGTGATAGCGGGGTTTGATAGTCAATCTCAACGCCTTGTCCTTTAAAGACATGATCATTTGCCACGTTGATTTCAACAAAATGTCAGATTCTACTGATTCCACGGAATAAAATCAAGTCTAAAATGTTTCCAATCTTAGGAAAGATGATCTCATAAGTCAAGAACGTATAGTATTCAGTGAGAATAAAGTCTTTAGATTTAACATTTACATTTTAAGTTCAATGGTGCTGTTAAGAGGCATGGGACAATCGACTTTCAGTCACTCAAAGTACATCTATAGAGAATAAGACAAGACTAGTTACTTAAAACTACCTTCAGTAGAAATAGGTAAACGATGCTCAAAATGAATGACATGGGGACATATTTATCGGAATAACGATTGCTAAAGACAGTCTTACAATATTTCTTAGTGTAATGCTACTAAAGTTCTTTTTTCGTTTTTTTGTTTCATTACAGTATAGGACTGGTATATATTTTACAATATAGCTACAACCATCAAAGTGTTCGCTCAACACACATACACGTAGCTTTGGCCAGTTTACAATAGGCTTATATATTTCAGTCCCACGTATGTCACTCAGTTGTAGACTGATTGTTGCTTATCTATATTTAAATCCACAGGTCTTGAAAGCCGAGGTTATGGCAAAGACACCTTCAAATTCTGAGTTCTCAATAGACAGCATCTTAAAGGGAACAAAAAGCGAGAGACTACCRTCTTCTCATGAAGCACTGATGTTGGCTGAGAAAATGGCAGGTTGGTTGCGAATTTACTAAATTTGGTTCAAAGGGGTTTTTAAGTTTTTAAACCTACTGKTTTGTGCATTTACTTGCTTCAAAATTGATCGATAATCGGATGTATTTCGAGATAACATCCACAGAAGTGCCTACAAGTGAAAAACAAATAATTTGTATTGATTTTATGATAACAAAGCTAACAAGTTTTGAAAACTGAAGGACAAAATCTCAAATCTTCCAGATGGGATTAAGGAGAGTTTCTTAACTGCAAAATGTACTCTTAAGACTACTATATTAAGAATGGTTTAAAATCTAATTAAGTTGATATGGTTTTCTTGCGTTTAAAATGGTAAACCACATGTCTATGAACGATCAATAGAGAAAGATTTGATGGGTGATAATTCTTTATTAAGTTTGTGTTTCGTGYGGAGGGGTAGTGAGATATCGCGTTTCTGCTCTTATGACCCCAATAAAGAAAAAGAAGTAAAAGAAGAAAAGAAAAACAAATGAACAAATAGATAGTGATCACATCAGTAAGGCTGAATCAGGTTTGCTTGTTCAGATGATCTAGATTTCAAAGTGAATATGCCCTAACAATCAGATACATGACTGGAGTGCGACTTGTTGTCTCGCAGATTGATGTCCTTATGGCGAGTGCACYGATACGCTGGATGAATTGTCAGGTGCCCTCCAATCGATATCTCACTTATTTGTGTTGAAAATAGGAAATAGGCCAGTAACGCTAGCGAGATCGTTCTGGTTTCATTCSATGAAAGAGAGGAGAGATCAATAGACAATTGGTTCGAGTGACTCTGTGAATTAATTAAGCTATCACAGGAGTCTGAGCAAACTTTTCAGCTATGATTACACGGCTACAAGACCTCTCAATTAACTCAATTAGCGCCATGAAGATACCTACATTGCGAGTACCAGATAATGATCTTTCACCACCAAACCAAATCTTGCTAAAGAATCCTATTCAGAACTCATCTAATTTGAGACACTCTCGCCAACCGACACGTGCCCATTCTATGGGACCCCCTTTTTGGCTCCTTTCTTAACACGTTTCTGTAGTGTCCTCTTTCATGTAAATCAAACGATCTGTCAAATTCRCTAAAAACTCAGAATGAGTGACAACCCATATCAATGTCCAAATCACCTGTGCCAGACCCAAGTTATGGAACAAAGGTTGGCCCAAAACACCGTATTAATTGCACTCAAGGGCCCTTCAATTAGTTCGCATAAGAAAATCATCGGCTTAACCTCATCCTTTTTTTTCTGGACAGCTTTAGGCCAGCTAAGCAAATTTTTCTCCCTCTGGGTTACAATAGCACACGTTGGTGTAAACAATACTATTTGATTATACTCATAATTTTTCATTAGACTCGAGTATACCGCTGTATTGTTTGGAGCCGGTAATTTGGACGCTATTACTGGGTAAGACATTAATGTACTACTTGCATTTTGGTGGAATCAGAAGACGTTGACTTTTACCCTTCGGTCGAGCAAGTTTAAAGAAGAGGATCAATGTATTTCTAAAGATAAGATATGGAAAATTGTTTCTTTTTTCTTTTCTTTTTTGGTTAAAAAGGAGACTTTGCTGCTAATCACCATCCGATATTCAAGTTCCTCCGGATAAAAAAAAAAGGACGATAATTCGAAAAAGTAGATTCAGCATTAGGTAACGTTAGGCTGAAGGTTTTATGTAACTTCTCTAATTCTTTACAACGCTACAAGTCGGTTTACTTTTATGGAAATTGATTTTGATTAACTGTCAGTCCACGTACCCCACGCTGAGGTCTARAGTATTTGAAACTAGGAAAATAAAAGTTACTCTTCTGACAAAAATAATCCCTAGATAAACTGCACCCACCTCAAAAATCTCGAGTGTTTTGAGTGGAACAGTTTTGTACGAATCTTGTACCTCAATCTTATGAAAAAGTACCTYATTAATTTCTTTTGGAATCTAGCTAAGAATCAAGGGAATGGCTAATTTAATTGTCAGTTTTCGATTACTTAGATTTCTTTACAGTGCAAGAAGGAAAGAATATATCTTGATGGACCATCAATGAAAGAGTTTGTGTGGTTCAAATGTGTGCCTAGTAGATTTGATCGCCACCAGCACTTTGGCAAGAGCTAATTAAATCGTACCTCTTGTTTGGATAGTTCTGATTAACTCTTTATAAAGGCTTGTATGAGAGGCTTAGAGATCTATTGAAATCTAAATCACCGTGTCACCTTGAATCAACCGACTAGTCAAAGACACTTTTATGAAGTTCTTTAGCTCCCTAGAAAAGGACTGCCATTCACTAAACTAAGTTTTTATTCTTTCGCAAGCAAAACTTATAATTTAATATCTTACTTGTAAATAAATTGTCTCATCTCCTAGAACATGTTATACGCAAATAGCAATTCACCTTTTATAATTCTTTTCATAGTTAACATTAAAAAACGTTTCATAGCAAAAGTAATGCATTGAGTTACAAATGTTAAGTTAATGTTAACTTAAAGTTAAACTTAAAATGAATTTCAAGTTTCGAATTCTGAGCATCTTTAACAGCACTTGGCATATAAAAAAGGTCAGTTAAAAGTTAAACTGTACAACCTCAGAACAAGACWTTGTTTTATCTTGGCAACTCGCTCTCAGTTTCAAGCCGCTGTTTTGTCTATTCCAAATAAGTTCTTTTGCTAGGGCTGTATGTCAAGTGGGTCCCCTTCGCCTGTGCACACACCATCTATGACCCAACGTCAATAGCTGCGAGGTAGCTATAGGACAGGTGTAGTCAACATACTAATGACTTAGTAAAAGATCTAATCAAAGATTTGATTTCRGATCGAATAGAGAGGTATAAAGAGGGAAGTGTTGCACTACAAGAAAGCAAATAAAATAATAGCAAAAAATTAATACATTCTTTAGAATAACGTGGATAGTCGTCACCRGAATGTCGCGAAAAAGGATTTTATATCTCTGTATTATCGTACATTAATTTAAGGAATGCAAATGGAAATAATATTGAGGAACATGTACAAATGGTACAACTATTTGAGCTGTGGGTCATTCAATAAGGTAGAGTTAAAGAACTAATGTTCTATAGATAGCCTAGATGTTTGGTTTTCATATAAGATTGCTTTCAAGAAAAGATAAAAAAGCATTAGATACTGATTTATTCATAAGTATCACACAGAAGAAGACGGCATGGCGAGTACTGTCTGGATCCGATCCCCGACCACGCCCTGAGCCATTATTAAAAAAACTGTCGTTTTCCACATCTTTTTTAGCACTCAACAACTGACAAAGTAACATGATATAAGCTTATTTTGTCCAGTTTCTCTGGTTTTTTTCCCTCTCCAAGAAGTATCTCTATGATGTCACAAGTGACTCTTTTATTATCTTCCTTGTTCAACCCTAATTGGATCTCAGTACATAAGCAGCTTTTATGACTAGAATCAATAGCTCAATGACGTCATGATGTATCATTTAACACCTGAGATGCACGAACTCTACTGTGAGTACACCATAACGAGAACAAAGTAAAATTAGCGAAAAAACGATGCAGTACCTAACTAGTGTAGGATATAGAAGCAGTTTAAAACATCTTAATGAATCGCTACTCTTGACAGATCGTCAATTTCTGATGGAGACATGGTTAAGTGCTTTGTTATCGGTTTGTGTAAAGAGAATGACCAATTTTGCCTCCGTACACCATAAGACACATGTAAGACAGGATTATCGCACGCCTACGCCGAGTAAACACAGACTCGATTGGACTAGCAGTTTATATCCTGCTAATGCGCAGTACCGTAACAGTTTTTGTTCGACATCTCGTTTTTTTAATATATTGGTAAAGCGGGTTCATGCTTTATAATACCTTTTGTCACCTGCTACTTATCAATTAATGTTCGTGTAATTACTACGTGTTTGACGTTCGAAAACAAATTGAGCCACGTAGAAACGTGAACTCCATAAATTGAYGAAAAAAGCCCTATATTTAGATAAACATTTTTGGGAAGTAGTCGTAGTAATTTGGAAAGAAAAGAAAAAAAGCAAGAAGAGAAAGGAAAAGAGAGCAAAGAAATGAAAATGGAAGGGAAAGGGAGGGAAGGAAAGGAAAGGACAAACAGGAAAGGAAAGAAAAGGAAAGGAAAGGAAAGGAAAGAAGAGCAAAGGAAAGTAGAAGAAAGAAAAGAAAAGCAAGGGAAAAAAAGGAACTTTATCTACTGTACTAAGGTGTGATTTGCTTTACACATTTCTTTTCAGACATCATACTGAAGGTAGCAGATGGTCGCAAGATTCGACGCACGCGTACGACGTTCAACCAGTTTCAACTAGAAACACTTGAACGTGCGTTCTGTCGTACACACTACCCGGATGTACTACTACGAGAACAGTTGGCACTTTATACGAACCTGCCAGAATCAAGAATACAGGTACACGACAGCATCACTTTCTTAAGGTAGCTCCATATAGTTAAAAGGCTTTTGAGGTACATGTTACATATTGCTGTATTAAAAATAAAACAAAGTATGTTTTGACCCTTTTTTGCGCATTGTACTAATATTAGTAAATCAAGGTTTCAGTTTTTACAAAAAAATATCACATGACGGGTCGCCATAGCAACGTAACGTTAGTCTTAATTGAGGCTTTTTTGTAATAAAAAAAATTAAAGCTCGAGTTTT